GACATTTAATTGTTTTGTATTACTTTCAGAGTAATCCATTATGTCATATCTCAGATAAAATATCTTTTCCTGTATTTCTTACAAAAAACCCCATCTAACTGCCATGTTACAGATGAAATTATTGTTATAAAGAAACTGATTTTAACATGAAAACTAGTTTTCTTAAATTAAAATGAGGTTTTCATTGACAAACTCTTTGTTAGTCAAAAAATTCCTACCCAGAGATAAACATTACTTTCAGGATTAAGTGCCAATTCAATTTCTATACTTTTAGAGTTTAATTCAAAAAATTTTTTTGGTAAAATACCATTTATAATTCCAAATTAGGTACTAGTAACTTAATATAAAATTATTTTCAATAGCTTTTTCTTATTATAGAAAAGCTTGGTAAGGCAAAAACTATACTGGCAAGTGAGTGACGACTCCTGATTGTCACCCAGTGGGTTGGTTACATTTTCTCCCCTCAGTCTAGAGCTGTGTTGTACAATATGGTAATCACTAGCCACATGTAGCCTCCCTAACTTCTTTCTCTGTCCCTTCCTTCAGCAGGGCCTCCAGGTGCTGTTGGGATCCTCGCTTCCTGCTCTGGAGTCTAGAAATTGCATTAGGCAGAAAAGTTTAACAACTGTAGGGGTCCCTTCCCTTTCCTTAGGGTTCATGATCCTGCACTGTTTGTTGTCCAGTACTGAAAACAGTTGTTTTTACTTTTTGTCCAGTCTTAGTTGTTTACCTTGAGAGGTTATTAAGTTCAGTGCTTTTTCACTATGTCATGGCTGATAGTGGAACATTTTGTTATTTTATTTTATGTGTCTCTTGTCATCAGCATGTACTTGGATTTTGCAAGGAGTTTTTAGAGGGGGAATAAGCCATTTTTTACATGTTATGAATATGTAATATGTATCATTTTGGGTTAACCCTTGAAGGAAATTTTATTCAACACAATACTATTGAGTACTAACTAGGGCTATACACTGTTTTAAGCATTACTGACATAACAGGTGCAAACCTGCATAAACTCCTGCCCTGTTGTAACTTAAATGGGATGAAAGATAATAAGCAAATAAAAGATTAAATGTTAGCTAGTGGTAATCAATATGGAGAAAGTAAATAACAGAAGTATATGACCATTTAATTAGGGTGAACAGCCAAGGATTCTTTAATAAGGTGATATTCACCCAAAGACCAGAAGAAAGTGAGGAGTGATATCTGTGGATGGCTGAGCGAAAGACACATCAGAGAAAATAGTTATTGAACAGGTGGGTATAGAGGCTGCCTGGGACATCCCAGGAACAGCAGGCATTCCATGTGGCTGAGCAGGTGAGCAAGAGGCGAGTAATGGGATTAGGTCAAAGCCATAAAGGAAGGGCAGATTTTCAGCAGGCCCAGGAGGCCACTGTAATAATTTTGGCATCTACTTTGAACAAAACAGATTGCAGTTAGGTTTTCGCTCAGAATAATGTTGTCTGATTTCTGTTTTAATAGTATCACTTATGTTGTATTAAGGACATAATAAAAAAGAACAAAGACAAAGGCTATTATAATAATGCTGAAGACTGGGATCAGGAGTGTTGCCTTAAAGTTAGTGACAAAGGGGTGATTCCAGCATTTATTTTTAACCTTTTATTTTCTAACGGAAAATAGAAATAAATATAAAGGTAGGAAATTGTCTAATGAACCCATGTACCACTTCAGTAGTTACTTACTCATGTTTAATCTTTTTTATCTATACCTCTATCTACTGGATTATTTTAAAGCAAATTTTGAATATTTGAAACTAGAGACAACAGACGCATGAACAAAAGAAAAACATCAATGGTGACTTTTTTCTCCCGAGATTTTGCCCTAAGCAACTCAAAATGTGGTATTGTCATCAACATAGGTGAAGTCTGTGGAAGAGTAAATTCAGAACTCAGTTTGGGATATTCAATGTTGCGAGACCTACTAGAAGTCTGGAAATATCAAGTAGTCTGTTGGTTAAGTGACTCTGGAGTCGAGAGAATAGGCTTAATGGGGGTGTGGGAGGAAGATGGGGGCAGAAGCAAAGTGTGGAGTTGTCAATATGCTCATAAATTGCTGATGATGCTGCGAATGGGATGAGTATAGATTAGATGATATTTTTCCAGCCCTGAGCTCTGGGCCCCTCCAATGTTAAAAGGTTAGCGAGAGAAGAGGAATCACCAAATATTAAAAAGACATGAATAATGAGGTAAGAGGAAAATTAAGAATGCGTTATCCAGGACACCAAATGGAAAAAAAAAAAATACTAAGAGGATGATAGAATTGACCAATGAAGTTAGAAACAAGAAGATGAAACAATAAGGTACAATAAAAGGAGTCTTGGTAGATTGGAAGAGGGTGGGAAGAGAGAGGGGTAGGCAAAATAATGTTAGAAACAGGTTCAAGTAGAATAGAGAATATAGACTTTTTTTTTGGCAGATTATTGGTAAAATGAAGAATATATGGTACTAGCTGGAGGGGGGTCAAGAAAGAGAAAAATGATAGGGTGTTTATAGACTAGGAAAGATATTCTATAAGAAACCAAAATGACCACACAGGTATTAGATTGCTGGAACAGCATTCTTGAAAACAGGGGACCACATTGCTGTAAAAGCATTGCTCATAGATCATTAAGATCATAATTCATCTATGGCAATAGCAGGAAGGGAAAGAAGTATTTGGGCAGAAGAGAAGGTATGTGACCAGATGGAATGGTAGGGACCTGTGGAAGTTCTGAGAGGAAGCAAAATCGAGGCTGAAGGATTAATAGGAGTTGAGGGGTGAGGAGAAGTGAATGGATTAGAGAAATAGCACAGAGGCTGGGAAGCAATCAGGTTCATCTTGAGGTAATGTTGGTGGGACTTTGTCTCCATTTTATTTTTTTGTTAAGCTTTATGTGCAGGCTTCTTATCATTAATTTTTGCTTATAGTAAGATACTTCAACGGAAGGCATCTTTTGTCTCTCATAACTGATTTTTTTTTAAACTTCTGTTTTAAAATATTCTGGCTTTTGTCCATAAGCTTCTATTGATTTATGGATGAGTTGGGTATGTGTTCACTTTAATCATTTTCTTCCTTATGTTTTCATTTCTTCTTTCTTCTACTTAAGATTTTTCAAACGTATTCTATAATAGTATGTTGTCTAAGCCTGCAAGAATCTAAAAATCACTTGGACATATTTTAAATATGCAGAAGCATAAACAGAAAACATGGAAGGCCCGATTCATTAGGAATGAATGAATTTAAACATTTAAAATGTGGCTTCTGTAATTTTGATAGTCAGTTGTGTATGCTTGTGAAGTTTGCTAGTTCCTCATTCCAGAATGAATTGCAATTCTATTCCAGTTTGGGTCTTGCCTAATTTGTTAATTAATAGCTGAAGTGGTTGTTTTGCCTGATCTTCAGAATATGGTTTTTATATCTTAGTGTATCTTCCTTAATCCATATATCTGATTTTAATATTCACCCCTTGCCCTATGCCCCTGCTTTTCTTTCAAAGATCAACCAACTTCATTATATGCTGTTGCGGACATAGAGTATCTCCTGAAATTTTGTTTTTCCCTGTAATGGAAGCACCCACCCGATTCTAAAGGATAATGCTTCATTGACCTTGGCTGTGGTTAAGGAGAAGTCACAGATGCCATCCTTAAAATGAAACCTTGGGAAAAAAGTTGTATTAGGGGATCTGGCATGAAAATTCTCCCTGAGGTAAGGGAACACAAACTTGTATACCTTCTCCCCCCCCAACCTGTTTGATTTATTATTCAAAAAAGTTACATTTTTTAATTTGTTGTCTGCCTTCTTGAACCAGGAGTGGGCAAGTACAAGGTGAAGAAAACTCAAATGAATATCACAACAGATTCTCTTGCATATTTGACACATAATCGTTTAAATAATGACAATATTAAAATAATAGGAAACTGTTATTCTTTATTTCAAGTATATTGGAAAGCTAAATCTTTATTATTTCCTAATATTGTGTGATCTTAATATATATTTGATAACAACATTATCATTTCCCATAGTTTATTTTCCAGTTGAACAAAATCAGCCCACCATCTCTTTTCTTTAGCTTTGCAGCAGGTAGGAGTGAAGACCCTAACTCTCTCTTTGTGCTATGGAGTGTAGCAATGGAAATTTGTAATGTAAGTTGAACATAACTATATAGGTAGTTTCGACCTATGTGCCCAAGAGATTGGAAATTGTCCAAGAAAGACAAAATGCAGGGGGACAGTCAGAACAGATATGTCAGATGGCTTGCTTCAAATCCCACCCCAAATATAGCACTTGTAGTTTTTAGCTTTCAGTTTTTTTATATATTCAATTCCAGATAAAATCTTGTTTTAATGAAGTATTCAATTGTTATAAAAATCTACAAAGGATATCTATAAATGTCTTCAATATTTGAAATTCCTTAGTATGTTAAGTTAAAGGAATTTCTTTCTTAATTGTGTAATTCTATGGTATAGAAATGAACCCCTTAAAATTGTTGCTTAATTATCATTTACATGTGAAGATCCCCAAGTGATAGGGCAGGTTTGGCAGATAATTAGTTATTTAGATTCTCAGTTTCTTTTCTGATTAACAAGAAATCCATCATGGCCAATTACTTATACAATTCTGGCTACTTGCTGTATGGAGACTGTGGGTCCTTTCTGGTCACCTTCACTCATCTGTTCACTATATAGAATGATACAGTGTGTACAAAGCATTAAGTATCTCTATCCTAGATCATGTTATCATTTAACTAGAACTCAAACTCTCTTAATATTTTAATAATACTATTCACTATATACATTTATATCTAACCAGTGGTTTTTCTTGTTATTATTGTTATTAAATTATTCAACTATAATAAATTATTCAAAGATTTTAGAATTCAATGTAGACAATATACCTAATAATAATTATGTAATTAATTAACCAATTACATACCATTATTTTACATTGTTTGTTTTTTACAACATTTATTTTGTGGCTAACTAAATAACACAAATGGTATGATTTCATTAGTATTAAAGATTTCATGAGACAAGCTTAAAAGGTTCAATGAATTATGTGGTAGTGACAATTTTTATTTTAGAATACTTTTTTTTCTTGTTTAAAGTATCCTTGAATAAAACAAGTTCTGTTTCAGGTGTTTTTAGTAACATATACAACATAGCTTTCAGAACAGAGAATTCCTTTTTTTAACCCTACTCTGCTCTTATTGTTCTAATAGATAGACTAAGGAATAATAGTATATTTTCTATTAGCATTCCAGTGTCTGTTTCTCTTTAATATCGAATACTAAAATTAGAGTAATCAAGTTTAGAGATGGTTTTCTCATTTGAAAAGTCTGCACGGTCAATTCGAGAACTGGGGCTCCCCACTTTGCTCAGCCAGGACTTCCTAAAAAAAAAAAAATAAATAAATATATTAGCGTATAAAACACATATGGACTAGGTAAAATGAACCCATGACAGTATTAGTGAGAGACTACCCAGTAACTTTTGCAAATAATATGATACTTAAAAATACTTTTTCATAGAATGATATATTCAAAGAATACTAAATACTTTTTTTTTTAAGATTTTATTTATTTATACAGAATGGGGTACAGGCCAGAGATGGGGGGGGTGAGAGGCTTCACCAGAGACAGAGTGGGGAGCAGAACAGGCAGATCGACGAAGTACACTGCTGAGGGGAGCAGCAGGCGGGTCAGGAGAGGTCTGCCACGCCATGTGGTCTCCTCCGGGGCAGGCGGGATTTGAACTCATGCGGAAGTGGCTTTAGCTTCCCAGTGCAGTGTTTTAACCCGCTGCGCCACCAGGGAGGGCCAGAATACTAAAGATTTACTAATTATGGGAGGGCATAACGTAATGGTAAATTAAGCACTTTCAATTCCCAGTGATTTGATATTGTATTATTTTCATTTTTAAAACATAAATGTGTGAAACTGTTCCCCTAAATCATACACAGTGTAGTAAAAAAACATTACCTCAATTAAAAAAAGTGAAGTTCCAGGTTTTGAAAAATAAATAAAACACCTAAGACCATTATTACCTAGCTCCTGTACAGAAGGAATTCAGCAGTAAGTATTTTATGTATATGTGGAGAGGATGATATTGAGAGATATGAAATAATTAAATATAATTTTTCATAAACATTAAAATAAAATCAGGTTTATTTTGGAGAGAAGATAAACATTTTTATTTATCCCACACATGTTACCAAAGTGACTGCAGGAAAGACAAGTTAAATGTTCTGAAATGTATTTTACTTATTTATAGTGTAATGGTTTTTCTGAATTTATCAGTGACATTGATGTGACTAACTTATGTATTCAGGAACTTACCTGAGATGCTTCCTATATAATTTAGGCCTACTGTTTAGTGCTAAGGATTTTACAGAACATTTCTCAATAGTTATTTGGGATACTAGTTTAAGAAGGACTACAGATTAACAATATGAGGTTGTTTTATACAAGTGTCCACTATCCCAGCAGCTACTGTCCTATCTTTTCATTGCCTCAATGTTACTTCTCAAAGCTAGTACAATATATAGTTGTGTGATATATGTAGCAATCTCATAAAACCTTGAATTAAAAATATTTTCTAGGTTAAAGTTGTTTGATTGGCTGAAAATCACTCTTAATCAGGCTAAAGAAAAAAAGTCCAATGATTCAAATTCACATTGTGATTTTTAAGTTTCTTTGGTTCTTTTTTGTCAGTTTTACTTGGTTAGGTGAATTTTTATTTGTTTTTCATCAGCATAGCACATATTTTATTTTCTTCAACTCATTTAACTGAAATATTTAAAAAACTGGAAATCTCATGTGTTAAGGAATAAGAATCAGTTTTTATGAAAAGGAACTAATGCCTTTCATTTTACTTGTTAAATCGCCTTGAAACCTTCTAGAAAACTAAGACCAGAAATATAATCTAAACATTTATCGAACACAAAATGTTTGCTCAACATTGTGTTAAGTTACTTACATTATTTCCTTTAATACACACATTAGCCCTATAAATTATAGAACGTGCCTGTTACTGATGAGACATGGGAGAGCTAAGTAGCTTTCTGAGGGCTGTGGCAGTGGTGGCGACAAAAGGTCACATGCAGATGCATGCTGAAGGAAAAATCAGGAGACTTAGGGAAGAATGGCTGTGTATATGAGTTGCAGAGGACTGCAGGATGGCACCAGGACTACCCGTTTGAACTCTTCTTAGATGAGGTTGTCATTTACTGAATCAGAGAAGCTGTGAGAGGAGTAGGTTTGGGGGAAAAGATTGAGTTCATTTTGGTATACAAAGTCTGGATTGACTAACTAGACATCCAAGTGAGATGTTAACAGAGAGCTGGATCTATGAGTCTAGAGGACATAAAATTTGGATTTTGTTAGCACATAGACAGCATTGTAAAACCGTAAGACTGGATGAGATCAACAAGAAAAATATCCAAGATAGAAAAGGGAAGAGGTCCAAGGACTGTGCCTTGAGGCACCCAATATTAAGAGCTCAGTAAGCAGAGGATGGACCAGCAGAGGAGGACATGAAGTGATGCAGGTGAAAAACTGGGAGATCAACATGCCTTGAGAGTCGATCGCTGCCATCTGGGGCTGGGGAGGGTCAGAGCTGCTGGTAGGTCAAGTAAGAACAAGGCAGCATGGTGATATGAAAGCCATAATTGAGTGGGATAAGAGAGAACAGAAGAATGTGTACAATCAGTAGATCCAGGACCAGGACAAATGGGCATAGGAGTTGCAGTGCCTCATCCACCTGCACAGGTAACTCAGTATTTACCTGGTAAGAGCTTGACCACTACCTGTACCTCGTATTCAAGACTATCAAGAACTTCCTCACTTGACCAAACCTATGACCAAAGAGAAAGCAGAATGGTCACGTTGATGTGAGACTGGACTCTACACTCTATGGGGGTAAACATGGTACCTCGTAGATGGGAACCACCTGCCTATACACCTGGAGAGCTGTGGCCATGAGTCACTTGGCAAACCCTGAACCCCTTCTCTTTATGAGCTGCAGTTGCAGTTTTGCTGTTTCAATAAATGCCAACCCCATCCAAACAGATATTCAACAGGTAGTCCTGGTGTTATCCTATAGCTCTCTGCGTCTCACACACATCCATTCTGTCAGTGAATTTACCTTCAGAATACATCCAGCATCTGACTACTTGTCACTACCACTGCCACTGCCCTGGGAAAACTACTGAGCTCTCAATAGGGGTGGGTCTGTTCTGGAGATGGCAGAGCTATTATTTCTCTAGCACAGTCCTTGGTTCACCGTATTTCATGCAAATTGGTATTTAACTGGTGAGTCCATGAGGATAGGATAGACACTATCTTTCAAGCTTAGCATGAAAGAGAACCCACAGAGTCAAACAGTATCACTTAATACATATTTAAGTAGAAATTTATACCAGGCCTATTCTAGATACTGGTAGTTATTTAAAACAGGGACCCGCTCCTCAGTAGTCAACAATCTAGTGACATTTGTAGAATAATAAAAGTGTAACATAATGTGTACCATGATTTATATACACGAAAAGAAGAGTTAATTTCTAGTCAAGGTGCATATTTGTGGAATGTATCTGGTCAGAGACATCTTTGTGATAGCAAAGATATTTGAACTAATTTTGAAGAAAATGTTATGAATTTTTCAAATCTTATAAACTAAGAAACATAGCAAAAGCATTTCATTAAGTAATTAAAAATATCAAAAAAATGTCTTGAGTAAAGTCCAAAACAGCACACTGTATAACTTACTTGCTATAAAAGCAGCATTTAAAAATCAATATATAAACCAGATGTAGGGTTGAGTGTTGAGTATCCTAAGATGTCGATGACCATCAGACACGGCGCATTAACACAAGACCTGGTGCCTCAGAGACACAGAGTAGTAAAACGGAACTTCCAGATCATGAAGATTTAAGATTGAAGGGGCGTCCTTAAAAGCTGTCCAGGAGGGGTGAATTGGTGGTGGGAAGCCCATAGGGATTACAACTGAGATGGAAAAATGCACAAAATGAAATATAAATATATATTAAATATAATAAATAAAATAATAAAAGCTGTCCAGGAGAAGCTGGTTGCACTAGGGCTAAGGGGATGTAGAGAAACATGGGTGGCTTTGCAAACAATACCTCCTTTGGTGTTACATAATTGAAAGGATTCACAAGAGCGTTGCTGCATTTGTGGTTAACTGTGGGTGTAGAATATTACCTGGAGTCCCAGGATAAAGATAAAGAGCATCACCGAAGATAATAAGCATGTAGTGGCCTCTTAATTAATAAAACAAAGATTTCTTTGCTGTAGCCTATTTTGATGCATCCTTTTCCCTTAAAGAATATTAGTAAGATTTAATAAAATAAGAAAAATATGCTAGGGAAAAATCGCTATGTAAAAAGGTGGTCAGAAAGGAAAATATATAGATGACCATTAAATATGAAAATATTCTCTTACACATAATAGAAAAAAAAGTAAAAGTGATACACCATCTCAGGATTTGGCAAAGATTTGCAAGTTTGATGATTTCTAGTAGTGGAGTTAGAGAATAGGCAATTTTCTGCATTGCTGATGGGAATGCAAACTTTTTAAAAGAGTGTCCTTTTCAGAATGGTAACTTGGTACTATCCAAATGATTTTTCAATGACCATACCTTTGACATACCCTCATAGAGAGGGTAGCCATGGGCACCACCCTGAGCTGGAGGTTAGCCCTACAAGAAGTTGATTAGGGATGCTCTTTGGTTTAACAACAAAGAAGACAGGAGAAGAGACAGGATTAGACTGAGGAAAAGCTGGGCAGAAATGCAGTCTCAATGAGGACCTCAGTCAACACACAGGTGAGAAGTCTGGGTCTTCATGTCCCCCCACATAACAGATGTGGTTCCTTGTGCTGAGAAAGTTTCCAAAGAGGGCTGATAAATGGGGAATACCTCCCACTTGTTTTCTGAAAGGGAACCTCAGCGGCCATCAAAGTGCCTCCTACACATTTTCTCACATGTGGGCAAAGGAAGTGGACTCTGGATGCAGCAAACAGGAGGGCTAACTGGTAGACCAGGCCCCAGGGCAGGTTGCAAAGAATAGAATCCTGAGGTCAGTAGACTCACTCTATTTAGAAAAGAGGGCACATCTCTATACAGAGAAGACAACAGGTTAAAGCATATATGGAGAGCAATTGGATCTGAAGAGGATTTCACATGAGAAAGCCTCTGATTTCTTAATAAAATAAGAGGTAAGGTAATTTACTAAGGACTAGGGAGATGAGAGCCATAGAGATTATTTGTGAAATCCTTCAGATCCAACTGCTTTCCATATATGGTGTTTTAACCTGATGTATTTCTGTACTGAGAACTGCAATGGAAAAGAATTGTTAAAGAGCAACAGGAGCC